ATTTCAAAAAGATGTCGGGTTTTATCGGGTTCTGCTTTTTTTTCGTAATATATGTTTCTGCTCTATTTTTTCGTTAGTGTTAAGTTCAAAGAATAATGGAGCTCTATTCTATTGATCAATGGTTCAAGTAGTTGTTACATACATACGACCTTCTTTTGGCCTTCTCTACATAGTACATGCTCTCAGCCAAAAAACCAGTCAAATAAGCGATGCAAAAGCAAATGTCCTATGATTAGTCGTGTTTTTTGATGAGCTGGACATAACTTCGATTCTGATAAACAGAGAAAATCTACTTCTATTGAGCTGTGTTTTAGGTATTTTTAAAGAAACGTATATTGTCACAAAGACGAGATTTTAACGCCTTCTTTATGATATATTTTTGTTTATTGAGTTAAGTCTCAAAACTTCTATTTGGGCTAGACAAATGAACATTTACTTAGTCTCTTTATTCTACTGAGACTCGAAGATTCTCGATACTAATTTAGAAAAAAAGACGCAAAACATGTAGCATCCAGCAACTCATATATTTGATGTGCATTCGATCATTCCTCAAGCTGAGAAATAGTACCAACATTATGCAACTTTACATGAAATCAAGGAATCTGATTGATGTTGCTACTTTAAAATACCAAGCAGATTCCTCAATTCGACATTAAATCGCATAATGCAGATGTTCTTTGTCAGCAGTCAGTATTTTTTTGTTAGATCCAATACTTTTGTTTTGCTTATTTTTCAAAGCGGATCCAAAACAAAACCGTTGAAGACTGCTGCAAATCGGATAATATACAAAATGTCATTAACCACAATCAAATAAACAAATGGAATTTCTCGGGTCGAGTCGGGTTCGGGTTTAACTATCCTCGGGTCGGGTAGGGTTCGGGTTCAACTATTGTCGGGTCGGGCCGGGTTCGGGTTGAACCCTTGCGGGTCGGGTCGGCTACGGATAGAACTAGAGGACTTCGGGTCGGGTGCGGATACCAAAAATCAAACCCGCGCAGGACTCTACCGTGGGCACTTTCTAAATAACTTTTAATAGGAACAAGATAGAAACCTACGGTTTTCACTGTCGGAAAGAGCAGATGAAGACGCATAGAATTATATAGAGAAAGACTTTTCTAGCTACTTTCCTATAGGTTTTGCATAAAACTTAAACAAAAGCAGCATACTTCTCATGGTCACGGTTTTAATTTATTGATTTTCAGGAGTGCCCTACAATGGCCAAAGAAAGGGTTACAAAACGATATAATAAACAGAATAATTAGGCAAAATAATCATAATATTGAAATTTAAAATAAAATAAAATAACAGTGGTGATAGAACAAGCTTATTAATTAGACGTTTCGATATACTATGAAGTCATTATCAATAACGAGTAACCAACGGATTACACCGAAAAAAATATTATTATTTTGCCTAATTATTTTGTTTATTAGAATTTTCTCTGGTGGTTTTCACAAAAATGGCATTCAAATGTATCAATTTATTATTTTTTCGGTGTAAGTCGTTGGTCACTCGTTATTGATACTGACCTGGCCTCCGATTGCGAATTTTTAAAAAAATAGGAATCCTTAGAGGATCAAGTTTGTCTAAAATATAGGATTTTCAATAAAAAATGACGAAAATATAGGATTTATTATACATTGTTTCTGTTCAATTTTTCTTATTTTGTTAACTTCTTCACTTGATATCTTTCTAATGAAACAAGCAAGAACTGGGGACTCGCCATCAGGATTCTTATCTGATTCATTTCTGCTGACATGAATAGTTAAATCAAATATCATTAGGAACTTTAATTAAAGTTTTAGCACCTTTTTCACTAATCAATGAATAATGAAAAAAGGAGACCATAAATTTGAAAGGATACAACGGAAAAAAAACAAATATTATTTGTCATGATTAAAAGACCGCGAACTTTTTCTTGACAATTCGGCACAATCAGAAGCTGAAGTTACATCCATGTGAAACTTTTAGCAAACGTTCAACACAATGATAGTAATCATTCCTGAAGTTTTCAGCTGAATTGGTTAAACTTTCCCTTGATTTCGCAACTTCTCAATTTCAACATTGTCAGAACAGCCAGGGAACAGAATATTAATATAGTTTCTCAGTTAGTTAATATACCATTCGGTACAGAATTAAATTCAGAGTGAATTTGTATGAAAGTCACAAATAATAAATCAACATTTCTTTAAAAAAAGATACATCTTCATGCAGGGGTCGTATTTACTCTACTACAAAATCTCTTGGATCTTTTGTTCTCTTGAATTTGATTCAGGTCCAACGTTATTTTTCTAGGAACATCAGCAACAAATAAGTGCTACAATATCATAAACACAATAGGATGAAAAACTCTATCCTCATCTCATCATAAAGAACTCAGTTCACACCCATGTCGTGAGAATCACCGAGATTTTCGCGATTTTCTAAAAAATTGGCGTAAAATCGTGATTTATCGTATTTCTTTAAAAGATCGACGATTATATCAGATTTTATCGCGATTATGGGAGAAGAGCTGATTTCCAAAAATCATTGATAAATCATGACAATTATTCATTCACCGTTTTGTTATGAACACAGACGGATATATAAACAACGCCGTTCAATGCATAACAAATAAGTTTTCGAAATATACTTTTCTGATAAATTATTTCTTGGTTATTTTTAATCAAGGAAATGCCAATCCCGATCCATGAACTGGAGAGGACTACACTGAAGCGGTCTGATAAGAATCGGACCAGCTCGAGATCAGACAGATCGCACGATATGTTCGGCTTGGATCTTGAGAACAAAAAAAAATTGAATTAAATTCAAGAAAAAATCCAAATATATGTCTCCAAAAGAACCAATGAAATAGTAGAAAATATCAGTAAACAGACGGTTAAATCTTGCATAAAATCACGATTTATCGTAAAAGTCGCTGAAATAATCGGGAATAATCGGCAATTCTATCGCGATTCAGCTCACGATTATCATTTCGATGAATCGGGATTAATCGGCAATTTTTAGTCGATTCAAAGGACATGGGCAAAATTTAGACAAAAATACTAAACCACGAAAATTGTTGCTCAGACTCGCCCAATAAAGACTTAATTGTTTTTTCGTGCAAGAAAATAGAAAAGATCTAACTTAATTTGATTTGTTTTCAACTGAAAAAAATCCTTTTTAAGTGGCACTAATTGAATACAATATAAGTCTAATTTTCCAAATTCTAAAGATAAATTTTAATTGTGTTTTGTTTTTCTTAATCAATTTTCGAAAAAACAGTGTCCATCAGGAAGCTTATGCTGATGGAATATAAAACGCGAAAATCAGTTAAAACCAATCTGTAAAGCTAAAAACCACTAGCGCATTCAGTATTGAACAACATTATTTAAATATGTCATCGTAATGTAAGAGTTTGTTGAAAAGATGTGACCACACACTGTATATGTTGTTGAACGTCTGAACACTACTAGAACAAAAGCAAAACTTACATTTTTTCGAAAATTTTCTTCTTTTTTCGATAAAATATAGGAAAAATAGGAATTTTTATGGAAATATAAGACAAAAATAGAACTCTTTCAAAAATATAGGAATAATAGGAAATATAGGTCGAATCGCAGCCTAGATAATGACTTCATAGTATATCGAAACCTCTAATTAATAAAGTTGTTCTATCACTACTGTTATTTTATTTTATTTTAAATTTCAATATTATGAGAACTATATAAATATTCTGTTCCTAAATACTACCACTATGATACCCAAACCATCGGAGCACACTTTACCACCTCATTGTTTTCAACAAAACAATCGAAAAAGTAAATTTTTGTTGTATTTTCATACAAAAACGCATTTTTTTAACGTAGAAGAAAAAAGCAATTGTTTGAAAACTTGTAATTAAATCTTTAGAAAATTACTTAGAAAAATCTTTCTATATATAATTTAATGCTTCTTTATCTGCTCTTTCTAATGGTGAAAATCGTAGGTTTCTATCTCGTTCCTATGAAAAGCTATTCAAAAAATGCCCACAGCCATTTAACTCTGAAATGGACATTAATTACCAAAATTTCTACAGTTTATGAAATTTTAAATACTTGTGACATTGGAAAAAAAATATTTCAAGAATTTGATAAATTAATTCGGCTTTATTTAACTATTCCAGTAACTACAGCAACTTCTGAAAGAGCGTTTAGTGTATTAGATCGAGTGAAAAATACACTTCGAAGTTGTATGACTCAATCACGTCTTAATCATTGTTTATTGGCACATATTTATAAAGAAAAACTTGATAAAATAGATTCAAATCAAATCATGTCAACATTTATAACGTCAAATGAACAGAGAGGCATTTTTCGGACTGATGTTTTAATTAAAAATAAATTATTCTTGTAGTTAAAAAAAATTGTCTTTCAGCAAAGATTTTGAAATTTGGTTGATGGAGATCAGCAAGATCAAGAGAGCTGGTTTTCTGATAACAACAGCACCAAACAGTCTGAAAACAGCATATCATATGGAGTCCCTCAGGCACTCTTGGGCTCATAGAAGAAACTATTTGAAAATGAAAATCATATTAGAACTGAGCCTCACCTAGTTTTGAGACCTTCCGCCGCCCCTGCATTGAAATAAGGGCTAATTTTATTTTCTATAGTAGAAGTTTCTAGTAGAATTTTAAATTCTCCTATAGTAGAAATTAAAATTTTAATTTCTACTAATGCAACTTAAAATCGTCGGTTATTTCAATTTCTACTAGGAGAAATTGAAATTTTAACTTCTACTAGTAGAATTTTGAATTCTAGTGAATTTTAATTTGTACTACAACATAAAATAGTGTATTAATATTAGATATCATAGTTGTACAAAGTTAAAACAAAATCTTTTCGATGAACAATTTATTAAAAAATAGTTTTATAATCAAATAAAAAACAAACAGAGTTATCGAATAATTTAATTTGTTAAGCAAGATTATAATGAGCAAAATAAATAAATTAATTCTCATTAAATGAGAGAACATTGTTTAATTATCTTGAATGCTCTTGATCTGTCGTTACATTCAGTACAGTCAGTGGAAGTTCAGTTAAAATAAAATCACCTCCAATGCTAACATCAATATTGCCTGATAGGGAAAGATAAGCACTACCAGCCAATAGAGGCCCTAAGAGAGCAACCATAGTGCTTAATTTACCTGAAAGTTGAACAGTTAAATAAGGAGTTATTAATTCTTGGTGAGAATCAATAGTAAGAGGTGTATTATAATTAACAATGCCAACTTGTAGATCTTCATCAACTATAGGACCGAAGTCAGCTCTTATGTACATATTTAGAATAACTAAAGGTGTACTAAAAGGATTTACAAGTCGAATACGTGTTAATAATGTTTTGACAAGACCAAGTGGAATACCAAATATTTCAGCAGCAGTTAATTTTTTAAGAATAATTTCTGGAACAAGTGTTTTTTCTCCAGAAAGACCAGGAACTCGTGTATGAATACGAAGACCAGCAATAGCTAATGAGAGTAATGGTATAGAAGTGCCAGTTGAATTATCCTCTAATCTACCACGTAATTCTACTTGATTGTCAATGCCAGAAATCATATGTGAAATAAATTCTTGTGCTATCGCAGCATTTTGTTCAGTGATATTAAAGATACCTTCGGCATCAAGTATAGTAATATTACCTTGTGGTTGAAGATAGAATGGATCAATATTAACTAAACCAAGTGATTTACCACTTATGATATCACATAAATCAAGGGAAAGAAGACCGCCATTAAGAATATTAACAACAGAAGGATTAATAATTTGTGTTCTTATCTGAAGAGCAAGCGCACGAGATGATATAGCTCCAATTATATCAATATTATCAATATTTAGAAGTCCATTATCGAATTGATTATAACCAACAAGATGAAGTGTATCATTTATTGGAATATCCGATAGGGTAATATTTCCTATTCGAACTTCAGCAAGTGCTGCAGCTAAGCCTTGAATCACAATTGATACATTAGTTGTAAGAACAAGGTTAGCAGCAAATTCCTTAAATAATGTGTCATTCAGAACAATAAGTTCTTGTTTATTAAAACTCATAAATAGTTCATTTGTTGTTTGATTATGTTCAACAGGTAAATCACGAAGAATCATTTGTCCTATACATAGCTCATCATTTAAACGTATAGTAAAATTAATACTAGTTCTTAATGCTCTAAATGTCATGTGAACATTAGACGGTAATTCAAATAGAACTGATAATTGACCTGTTATATAAACTTTATTTACATGAACTGAATCAAATTCGATGCCAAAATTAAGAACATTGACTTGACGAATTAATTCTGTTTCAATTCCATCGAGATTAGCTTTCATTGACAGGCCACTTATTGTTAAATCCATCGCAGTTGCATTTTGTACAGAAGATTGATCATGAAAAAGTGTCACTTGTTGTGTTTCACCATTAAGATATGCTGAAAAGAATTTACCAATTACTGGAAGATCTGTTTCACGTGATGGAGCAAGAAGACTAAAATAGTGATAATAATAATAATAATAATAAAGAAAAAAATCTTGAATAAAAAAAATTAAACTAACCCATTGAGTGCAATTGAATTGTTTCCTGGTCTTATAGCAAGAACATCAATTGGTATTTGGCCAAGAATGGTACCATTTTCTCCTTCGGCCATGTGAAGTGAAAAATTCCGTAGTTGAACTTCAGTTACACCTGGATTATTAATAGTTGCATTGATTGAAAGGCGAAGGGCAGCTTCTTCTTCTCCATCAATAGAAATGCTATCAACTTGAACATTGTTAAGACCGTCGAGACCTACTAAAGATACGTTATTTTCGACAGTAATTCCATCAATACTCAAAGAACCAAGAGCAAACGACCCAACGATAGATGCTACACCAACAACACGAAAATCAATTAGATGTGTCTTATTAGCACTAATAAAATTTTGAGTAAATTTTTCATATGTTGCACCTGTATCAGTCAGACTTAAATATTTATTATTAAATTCCGATTCGTATGTTATGATATCTAGTTGTTTAACTGGAGCTTGAGAAACATCAAGCATACCGACAGAATCATTTTTATAAAGAAGAAAAACACTCATATTCATCATTTGAATATTAAGTGGAGATTTTTGACCAAGAGGAGAATTTATTTTAATAGTAATTGAAGCTGAAAGCATTACTGTTTTCTTATTTGTCGACGGAATAAGAGACATAGAATTAAATATTAATGAAACAATAAGTTGTTGATTAAATGGAGGCATATCAACATTTAAAGAAAGACCTATTATGCCGGCTGCGAGAAGAGGATATGATGTAGCATTTGGACCAGCTAATGCTTCAACTTTACTTGTTTGACCAGTAAGAAAATTTTGAATGACAGTAGAAAGAGCAACATAAGATTCCAAGGATGAGGATTGTAATTCCCCAAAAAACTGTATGGCATTTTCACTTGGATGAATCGTAATATTGTCACTAGTTGATTCAACATAACCAATTGACCAATTATTATATTGCAAAGAGAAATAGAGTTGTCCTAATTATAAAATAAAACTATAATAAATCAATTGTAATAATATTATTCACTTACTTACCAAGATCAATACTGAATATAGATGGATTAGTAATTTTGATAATAAGGTCGATAAGTACTCGATGTGCATCTGATCGTATTAAACTTAATGAATCAATACTTACATTAGGAAGACGATTTAAAGCACCTAATGTAACTTCTTTATTAAATGGAATGTGCGAATAAGAAAGCATGTGACGTGAGATAGGTCGTATAGTAGCTTTAGCTTTTAAATGCCATACAACATTAGGTTCAAAGATAAGAGAACGAGAGAAATTGCGAAAAGCTTTCATATCAGACACAATAAACGGAGAACTAATCGGAATAATAGTCGCACCAGCAGCATCACCAGTAATAGAAATAGATTCATTATGGACTACTATTCCAACATCATCTACATGAATAATAAGTGGCGGAAGAATACTAGCAGGAAGGGATCCGGTATGTGATAATTCTAATTGAGCTCGAAGATGAAAACGATCATTTTCAATTTGTTCAATATTGACCGAATGAAAATCTAGTTTAGCTTTAGCAATAAGTGAACGAATTATTTCTGGAACGACTGCATAGAGTACAACTAATATACCAAGAAGAAGAATAAGTAAGACGATCATAATACACAGTGCAATAAATACATGACGGCGCATTCGAAAGCCTTTGTATCGACCGCATAGCGTACAAATTTTTATTGTTTTTGATGACTTGGCAGGACTAAGTGTTAAATAACCATCGGTATTTCCCTCTGCAGAATCATTGCTATTGCATGAAGACGTGCGAGGTGGTTCACCAGAAAGTACAGGTTCAATTGAAGTAGAAGAGAGATCTCTATTCATTTTCAACGTACAAAAAAAGTAGAAAGTCTAAGAATAAAATATTGAATCGCACTGTAAAATCGATAATATTAAATGAGATATCTTCAAAAGAAATCAATCTTTGAATCGAATCAACAAAAAAAATATCCTTCTTACATGAAGAAATTAAATTTCATTGTTTTTTATTCAATCTAATTCTATTTAAATAACAATGATTATTTCATTAATATTTACGAAAAATCTATACAATCTATGGAAATATTTCATTCACTTAAAATACTACGATTTTAGATACTTGAGATTGACCTACTTCTAGTTGCTCACATGTTCACATGAAATGTTTCTCTATGTGACAGTTTTTAAGTTTGTTGACACTTTATCTTTCGAGTATATTCGTTCGTTCGTTTATCGCAAACGCTGTGGATGTTTTTTTTTGATGAAATTGTTGTGTATTGATAGTGTTTTTTTTTTCTTTTTTTGCTTTAAAATGTGAAGAAAATGACAACAAAGATTTTAAGATACCAACATCACACCTAGTCTTTTATGTTATTATGATGATAAGATAATATGTGCAAGTGCGTTCTAGAAGTAGAAGTCCGCGAAAAAAACATGCGAAATTGCATAAATGCGACATTAGACGTGTTAAGAGATAAATATATATGTAATGATAATTTTTTTTGTCCTCATTAATATAATTATCTCTTATTTCAAATGATCATTTATTCAATTGATCAATAACATTTGAAATAGAAGATTCTTTTTTTTTAAATTAACTCTTCTTTTGTTCAATAATGTTTCAAATTTCTGTTAGTGATAAGTTTGTCACAGACGTTGTTAGTAATATATCCTTCAACTTATAAAAAATATAGAAATCTGTGTTATTCTTAATTAAAACGATGAAAAGTTTCTCAAAATTTTTATCAAAACCATGATTGTTCATGCACAAAGGATAATTCATATTAAACACTATTTTAATAAGGTCGTATATCATTAGAAAGAATGTTCAGTAGCTTTATGTGATTCTTAGGTTCATACCTGCTAAAAAGGTTTATGTCACTCCTTTAATAATAAACACACTATAGATTAGATATTGTTATGATATTCACTAATTAAATTCTATACATTATGCAAACGCATTGAAATCTTGTGTTTAGTTAGATCTCATAATGGAAAGCATAAATTAGAATTCTTTGTTTCCTCAGAAATCTTCTATTGTCATTGAAATAGAAACCAGCTGGTCTTTCAATTCATAGAATATGACACAAAATTTTAGACAGGTACTAATGCTTTCATTTTACTACCAAGTAGTAATGAGAATATACTCAAAATAGCATTCGTAATATCAAACTAGTTTATTTAATTGAGTACTAAATAAAAAATCGTACTTATGGTCATGTATGCATTAAAAACTAGCAAATTATATATATAAGAATTGATGACCTTTAATTCTTCTTACAAAAGTTATGTTGCAGAATAAGTGATGAAAGAACTGGTTATAATTTCGCGAATAGAACTTTTGAAGTAAGAAAAATAAAACTACTTTTCTACTATCAAGTTAATTGAAATTATATATAGAATTAGCATTATCTTCAGATCAGCAAATTAATCTTTGGTAATCAATGCGAAGACATATCAGACAATTTTGCGAAACTCATATTATGTTTGTCGAGGAAAAGTAGCAAGTGTGACTTTAAATCAAAGTTTTGGCGGTTTCGGTTCTCTTCTCTCCTTCCTCTCAAGTTCTAAAATCGAATCGTAGATTATTGAGTATGTTTCCATAGCGATCAGAAGCGTTGAGCACCGAAAACGATCTCTTATAATTTCGTAGCAACAGAAACATCTACTGAACTGCATCAACACCAAGACTATGATGGTTCGAGAGCTTTCCGAATCCATCTTGAGATTTGAATAGCTAGTCTACGTTTTTCAATATTCTAAATAACGCAACTGGTAAGTTTGCCACCAATAGACGACTATATGATAGGTATCAAAGATGATGACCAATGATGATGGCCAATAATGTATTGATTATGACACAGCAGTCATAAGTAGAGTCCAGCGTGACCACCAAATCGTGACCAAACACAAAAGATTGTCCGATTGTAATTTTCATGTTGAATATGACAAAAATACTTTTGATTTGATCCTTTGCATTCAGAATTTTTTCCTCTATAAATTGATGTATAAAACTTGGAGATACAATAAGCTACGCGAGAGAAAACAACGATACATTTGTCGTGACCAGAAATTTCCGCGACTGATCGTGTCTAGAACTGGTCACGACAAATACTATATCGTTGTTTCCTCTCGTGTAGATTACTGTATTCCCAAGCTTTGTACATCAACTTATAGAGGAAAAAATTCTGAATGCAAAGGATCAAATCAAAAGTATTTTTGTCATATTCAACATGAAAATTATAATCGGACAATCTTGTTATTTCTTTGATCACGATTTTATGGTCACGCCGGACTCTAGTCATAGAACCAACATTAAAGTATGAACTGATCAAGCTTTTACTGTCGGGAAATATTAATATCAGTGTTTCTGAGTTTATCGAAATACATTATAGCGTGTTGAGATCTGCAATAGATATAACGAAGGTGTATAACAGACTTATTTATCAGTTAAATAAATGATACGCAAAATGATAATGAATTATGACAAATGAAATAAAAAAGAAAATAAATAACAAGCGAACAGCAACAAGACAAATAAAGAAAGAGTGCCAGTTTAAACAACTAAAAGAAAAACATTCTATTTATGGCATAGAAATCAATAAGACAGAACTTTCTCTGGCGGTCGATTATCTTTGGAAAGCAACTCTCATCTTTTGGAAACTCGTCACTTTTCGTATTTTGTATTAGTATAATGAAACTAAAGAAGACATGTAGATTCTATATTTTAGCCCCCAAATGAACTAGGCTAACAGACTTTATGTATATACATTTCATATAACTACATACTGTATTCTAGCTTTACTGGACTGCAAAGCGACATGCCAAGCTTTGAACATCGATTATCGAGAAATCGATGTTTCCTTAAAGACGAATTTTCATTTCTATGATTGAGTAAGAAACATTTTTTTCCAAAGGATATTTATAGTTTACTGAAATGAACCTTGTCTGTTGTCGCAATTAGTAAATCGGAAAAGTTACATTTCGATCAATTAGCTGATCGAAGTCAGACAGAAGTTGAAAAGTAACCATTGAGAAATTGGTTTATAAGAATCTTGATTAATACGACTTAACATACTGCTAATGGATACTATCGATTGATCACTTGACTGTCTCTCTAATTCATAATTTATTAACAACTGTTTTCGAAAATGTCCTATTTAAAGCTAAACATCACTTCTATAAATTTCAAAGAGTGAAATTTTCTCAATTTTCGATTCTTCAATTTCGATGAAGATTCTCTCATATTTAATTTCGTCTTCCTGGTTCATAATAATCTCTGCTAAATATTATGCATTAGAACTGAAAAACATAAAATAACAAAACCATGAACGATTCTTAAAACACGGCTAAGAGGAAATTTTAGTTTGTAAAAGTCTGGAAACGAAGAAGCATCAATACTTGGAAAATACCTAAAGATAGTCGAGACTAAAATGATGGTACACTCGTCATGTATGATACTGACTATTATCGAAAAACTAATGAACGTAAAGTATAGGAAATACCACATATATCTATATAGATTTCACAGTGACACTTAATGCAGACAATAATAAAGCGTGACTTAAAGTCACTTCAAAATGCTGCAGGTGATACGGAAGTAAAGTTAATATTAGATTCCTATCAAAGTTGTGTATATTTGTCTTGAAAGTTA